ATGGCCCAGGACCAGTGGTTGGGAACCTCTACTGACAACAGCATATGAAGTATGTGATTATTTTGGAATGCAGTTTCAGGCCCACCAGGAATTTGCAATCTTATGATCGCAAGAATTCACACAAATTTCAAATTCAACCAGTCCTGGCAGTACTTGCCAGAGCTCGCAATTACATCCGATCACTGCATTATTTTTGCACTAAACACGTTAGTGCTTTCAAAATGAAGTGTGCAGCTTTACCCACACATAGACAGAGCCTCTGATATTTAAGCTAAGCTATCAATAGCTATTGTAATTTTGTCAGTTTCATTCTGATTGATCTGCATGTCTGTAAAAATTCTCTTTTGTGAGCAGTTGTCTGCTCTAGAAGCTGTGACTGAGCCTTTCATACCAATACAGAGGCTGGACGTTTTTGCACTGGGTTCATATTAGTTTATATTAGCACTACTAAATGCTAAAATTACTTTATGAATTTACTTACTTGAGTTTATTTAAGGAACATGTTCAGTTGGCAGGGTGTATATGTAGTCTTTGTCATTGTTACTAGATTTCATAGCATCATTTTGATGTAAAACCTGAAAAGATACTGTTTTTGAGACTCTAAAACAGGGTTATATTTTTTAACCCTTGTATGGTGTTGTGTTTGTTACTCAGTGGTCTGCTGGACCCACCGCATTATTGTTTTTATAAATCAACACAGCCAAAACAATTTATGTAAAAATACCAGATGTTTAAAATATCACAGTGGCCAGTGTAGGGTTCTCCTTTAGCAGCTGTAGCCAGTCAGCAGCCTGTCCATGTTGTCCACCCTCACACATATACAAACACACACAGACACACACACACTAAAAGCAGGCCATGTAGGTGGAGAACAGAGTGAAGGGACACAGCACCTCCACACTTTTATTCCCTGTGGGTTCACCCAAGACCACATGTGTAATATAAATGTGTGGGGGGTGAACAGTGTGAAGTCACTGAAAATGTGTTATTTTATATGTTCCTCACAGAAAATGAGCAAAGGCCACGGAATCTGAGGTTGAAATAACACTAAATCGCATTAATTTGTCTTTTGGTAAACACTGAAAATGGGTCCCACAGACCAGAACACCACATGAAGGTTAATCTTAGGTCTGTTACTTTGCATGGTCTTGGTTCTCAGAGATACACTTAATTTCCTATTTGTTGACAGAAACTATCTAGGCTACATTTAAAATCAGTTAAATATCATAATCATCACAAAGTTCCCTTTAAAAATTTACATTGTTTATTACTGCAAACTCTGAGAAATGTCAAAATCAAGCATTTTACTCTGCAACAATCCCAAAAAATGGCCAAAACCTTGGTGGGTCTGCAGTTTAGACGATGCTAACTGCCCCACATCATACACTTCTTGTTGGCTACATTCGCCTCGTAGCTCCAGCACAAAACTAAAGAAGCCAATTTCTGACACCAAACCTGTTTTGGTTGATCAACTGCGTTTGGGATAAGGGGGAAAACTGTAAAGATCAGATTTTTTACCTAACTGTGCCTTTAAATGGGAAGAAAAAGAGCAGAGGATTTAAACATGGAGAAAAAAGAGGGAAATAATTAAAGAAATAAGTAAAAAAAAAAAAAAGTAAAGAATCTAAGTGAGAAGAGTGAGAAGAGAGGAAAATATAAGTGGTGAAAGGAGGAGGAGAGGAGAAGGACAGAGAGAGAGAGAGAGAGAGAGAGAAGGATCTGACATCCCTCCCCCACTCTATAGCACCGCTGCACAGCAGGCCTAAAGCACACTGATGACATCACTCTCTCTTTCTCAGCCTGTCTCTCCTCATCTGCACCTCACAGCACCAACTCAGAGAAATCATGAGGCGACCAGCGGAGATGGAACGTCTCTTACCTCTCTCAGTTTGACTCTGTACGTGTCTGGCCCAAATACAGGAGAGACGCGTGACAGGAATATAATTAGCCCAGCACGTTTCAGCGTGGAGAAAAGAAACAATGTGCAATTAAATGTGTGGGAGCGAACGAAAGAATGAAATGAAAACGATGATATACTGAAGCTTAACAAAATGTCAACACTCATGAGTTCCCAAATACTTTTTACACTTTCCAATACATTTCTACTGTGCAATTTGGGAACCACTTGTAGCAAAAAGGTAATGTTACAAAACCCATAACCTACAGCAATTAGTGTAGCTGTTCTTCTACATTCAGCCTTGCTGCTGAGGAAACATACCTTGTACTTTCACTCACTAGCCACTTTATCAGAAACACCGACCTTGTACTTTCACTCACTGACCTCTTCATTAGAAACACCTAAACCATTCTTCTACTCATTGGCCACTTTATTAAGAACCTCTACATTGTTCTTCTATTTAGTGGCCACTTTACTGAAAACACCCCCTTGTACATCCAATTTACTGCCACTTTATTAGAAACACTTCTTTTACTCATTGGCCACTTTATTAGAAACACCTACCTTGTTCTTCTACTCACTGGCCACTTTACTAGAAACACCTACATTGTTCTTCTACTCATTGGCCACTTTATTAGAAACACCCATTTTATTTTTACACTCAATGACCTTCTTATTAGAAACACTCCCCTTCTACTTCCACTCATTGGCCACATTATTAGAAACGCCTGACTTCCACCTCCGCTCACTGACCGCCTTATAAAAAACTTTTACCTTGTAAATCCACTTACTGGCCACCTTATTAGAAACACCTACCTTGTACGTCCACTCACTGGCCACTTTATTAGAAACACCTTGCTTGTTCTTCTGCAAACTGTCCACTTTATAAGAAACACCGACCTTGTTTGTCTACTCTCTGGCCACTTTATTAGAAACGCCTACCTTGCATTTCCAATTCCAGCGTGGCTCTGTGGTCAGAAACTGAACAATAATGACAGGAGAAAGGATGTTTAGCACAGCAGATGGGCTACAGTCTCTAAATGTACACCAGCAAGATGGAGCCCCAAGCTAGGGATTTCTAATAAAGTAGCTTGTGAGTGTTATTCTGAAAATCGGATGCCCAATTACGGCTCTGTGCATATATACCCTGATGTTCATTATTTCGTCTACCCCTTGTAGAGTCTTTCAATATGGAGCAGGTCTTGCTGTTCCAACATCTCTTTTCAACAACCCACTCTGTCTTCTTTGCTTCAAGCGTAGGTGGATGACGGTGTTTGTGATCAACACAGTCACTGTGACAGGCGTGTAATCATTGCTATCCTACACCCTCAGCCGCAATTTAGGGATGTGGCGTCTATCTGCGGTAAGCGAGAATATCTGGCAGGGCTTAGCGTCAGCTTTGATTAGGCCAAAAACCTGCGGAGTGTGCTAAGCTCCTAACGGGGGTGGGACTGGGTTTGGTTTAGGTACAATGATGTAGCATATAGACATGGCCACAGGGGGCAAAGGTCACAGTTAACCAAGCCTGGATGATAACATCTTTTTTATCAACACTGCATGTTTTGAAGTATTTCTGATACAACAATTACACAGATCTGTTCCTCAATCCGGCTTATGCATCATATGTCCAAAAGTATCCAGACACCTCCTCTATTTTGTGAATTCAGCTCCCTACATTTCTCATGCATTTTATTGTCTCCCCCTGAGGTCTACTTATCACATTTGTCTGTGCCAAAAACATCCATAATTCATTTCTACATGACCATTTTCCAACCTTTCCTTATCCTTTAGAATTTAACAGGCTGTTTTTGTTTCTGCACCTTAAAGACTGAGATATGCAAATGAGCTCTGTTCTGGCTGGCTGTTCTGTACTGTGCTTATCTTTATAATCACAATCCTTAAATTCTTGACATGACCACAAAAACAACAGATTAATGCAGACAAAATAGCAGTAAATTTGTTTGCAGTATGTTCAAAATACAATATTTGTATAATATATTCTACAACCCCAAGTCCAAAAAAGTTGGGACGCTGTGCAAAATGTAAATGCAATGCAATGATTTGCAAATCTCATAGACTCACTTTTTTCACAATAGAACATAGAACACAGATGTTGAAAGTGAGACATTTTACCATTTCATGAAAAACATTAACTAATTTAAAACTTGATGGCAGAACTTAATTTGCAAATCATTGCATTCTGTGTTTATTTACATTTATTTACATTTTATAAAGCGTCCCAACTTTTTTGGAATTGGGGTTGTCACTTTATCAGCACCGCACAGTGTAAGAAGAGCGCAGTATGAAAAGTCCACAATAAAAATTGTTGGGTTGTTGTTTAGTAGGACTGCTTAATGAATAGATACGTTAAAGCAGAAAGTAAACATCATTTTGGACAGCTGATTATTTTATCATATCATTTTATGTTGTTTTTATTAATTTTATTTGTATGTGATCTACTGACCACCATGACTGTCATTATGCTGTAATTTAACCAGCACTATCATGTCAGGCTTTATTTGCTGATGATGGGAAAGTCTGGGTCAGTTTCAGACATAACTTTGTAGCACGCAGGTCAGTTTCGGACTCAAAACCTAAAGATGCATGTCTAGTCGGTTGAGGTCTGTATGTCGGGTTGGGCTGAGACTGACAGTTCTCTAGCTGTATTTGAGTTTGGACCAAAATTTCAGGATCAGTTAAAGCTTTACACAATGCCTAATGGCAACTATAGGCTAGAGGGGTATGAAGCCCCCAGCACTGGTCTCTGGAGAAGTGGAACTGTGTTCTCTGGGGTAATGGAGCTCCATCCAGTACCTTTAGAATGAGTTGGAGTGGTGTCTGTGATGCAGAACTAATCACACTCTTGTAAATAAATGAAATGAAATCCTCACAATAACGTTCCAACTTCTAGCATAAAACCTTCCTTTTCCTAATAATTCCCTTGATTTCAGAAAAAAATTGCATGATACTGTTCTCTGTAAAAATGGCCAAGCATGGCTGAGTTTGTTCAAACGACTACACGCTCTAAGCATGAGAGTGTCTGCTAAACGAATAAATGCAAATGGAAATGTATGAGGGGGCTGATTAGGTGGGCTCTACTCACCGTGGCTGTTGCAGCGTAAGGTCTCCACCAGCCTGTTGTCCTGGTCATAGCATGCCATGGCTTGGTATCGGTAGCCCTGGCCGCACTCCCGACCATCTCCCTGCACCCGCATGCCCAGAGCACTCTCCAGTCGGCCCTCAGGCAGGATGCAGTCGGACCAGTTGCCCACTGGCTGGGCATTGTACTTGTTGCAGGGGCAGTACTGGGTCTCACTCAGTGGATACATCTGACTGTTCTTACACTTATCCCTCTTCTTGCTCTTTCCTGGAAATTGATTAAAAGAAACAGTTTGTTGAAAAATTCAATTTAGACATGTTTCCATGTTGCCAAGTCAATTTAAATTAAGCGGCGTATCGATAAGACTGTATACAGCCGTATTTAAAAAATGATGATAGTAGTTCAAAATTATGACCAATCAGATTTCTGTTCCACGTCTGAATGGCCAAATAAACACATTTTTATTGTAGAGAGGTCACTGATTGGTGGTGTGGGAGCTCAGCGATAGGTGGTGCTGATAGAAAGACATGAAAAATCAGAGCCAGGAAAAAACTAAGCATGATAGCTTCTCAGCAATGACTAAGAGCTAAAAACACCACAGAACATGTTCAGCTTTCACTTTAACACCTGCCACTCGACTTCGTGCTCTCAGATATGATCTAAATGGGTGAATAAACTTATTATGACGTTCCGCTTGTTGTTAGGCTACAATAGATGCTCAAATACAAACTCAGAGAAAGGTCATTGTCTGGCTGCTTCACCCACAATCAGCAAGCTTCTGTCTTTGGTAGTCTTAACTAACTAGAGTGGCAGCACTGGTCTGCCTCAGGGTGGCGCTGTAGTAGACTGGGTGGTCCTCAATAGCCTAGCAACTTTACAACATGCCATATTTGTATATCTGAAAAGAGTGAATTGTTACTCATTTCTTGATCGAAGACAAAAGGGGAGATGTAAAGATGTAAGATCTCAGATAATGACTGAAAGACTGCATTACCAAACTAGAAAAGAGCATTTCCAAAACGAGAATTGTTAACCCAGACATTTTGCTGCCACTGAAGCTAGCATTAGCACCACTGTGGTGAGCGGGTTAGCAGGCAGCTAACACTAGATTAGCCAGCCAACATGGGATCCCCCCGATAACCAGGGGGGTATTTCGAACACTAGCAAAACGCTACAGTCCCACAGAACAGGTTCAGTTTTGTCTTTTTGTCGCTCCAACACCAGTCATTCCACTCTTGCTCTCTCAGACATCAGTCCATGTTCATTTGTCCATATAAATCACAGCATGTTACTCAGTGTCAGAAGCACATCAGTTTAGGACTTCTTAACAACTCAACACAGCTTAAGGCAAATGTGTGAGCGATAATCTAGGCATGCAGTTAGCACAATGCTACACTGAGACTCTGGACACCAAGCAAAAGCTACCTGCATGCTAACTTGTGACATATTAGCCTCCAGCACAAAACTAACGAAGAAAACTTCAGACACCAAACAGGCCTTGGCTGATAGACTACACTTGGTTTAAGTGGACATTTGATTTTCTGCTAAACAACTCCTTTAAGCCATGCTGGATTACTTAGGGGACAGAAGGGTCATTCCTGAGCCGCCCGCAGCACGTAGCCCTGCAGGCTGCTTCAGGCTGTCTGGATCTAGACGGCTGCAGGGCTTTAGCTTTGTGGAACACTTGATCACACATGGCTAATGCTAACACAGGGACTAGAATACAGAGTGGAAAGCAGTTAGGGCTTATGAAATCCCTCTTAAAAACTAGGTAATGATTTGATTTCCCTATAATGATGCATTACAATGAGGTGACGGATTCATGAAAGTGTGCTAAGAAATTGAGCTAGCACTGAATCAGACGCTAAAGCAGGTAGCTTAACTAGCTAGCTAACAAAATACTTACGTTATCTGACTGAATCTGGGCCCAGAATCAGAATAAGAATTGATTTTACTGGTCAAGTAAGATATCACTAGCTGGGAATACTTTGTTTCTGTAGCTTACATGAGGACATTATTCAATTTACACCCTGTATTAACAGTTCTGAGGCCCCATCCACACATATTTTTAAAAGCACATCTTTTTCTCTGCGTTCTTGGGCTTTTAGCCTCAAACATTTTATTTCTGGAATGGTCCGAGAGTTGAGAAGAACATTAGTGGAGAATTAAATTCTTATTTTTGGTAATTGAGCGCAGATCTGAATGCAGACAGTGGTAAAGTGGCTGGTGCTGCCCGACAAACAGATCTGCTTAATTTCATTTAAAAGATTAGAAAAGGTTGGTGAACTGAAATTATATCTAAAACCTGACAAAGTGGGCTAATGTTTATCTTTTAGCCGCAAATAAACCTTGATTGTTGTTATTCATTTGCTTTCTGATGGACATGCTGTTGAGTGAAATAGAAAGTATGATTATTTGACCACAATTAAAACATTCTCTCTTGAACACAAATGTTTATGTCTGCTTAAGAATTTCATTCGCTGCAACAAAAAATTGTGAACTTGCAGAATTCACAACTGTGAAGCCATATACACCAATCAGGCATAGCATTATGACCACCTCCTTGTTTCTATGCTCATTGTCCATTTTATCAGCTCCACTTACTATATAGGTGCACTTACCCTGTTTTTTAGTGGTCAAACCCCCATGGACCCTCACAGAGCAGGTACTATTGTGTGGTGGATCATTCTCAGCACTGCAGTAACACTGATGTGGTGGTGGTGTGTTAGTGTGTGTTGTGCTGGTCTGAGTGGATCAGACACAGCAGTGCTGCTGGAGTTTTTAAACACCTCAGTGTCACTGCTGGACTGAGAATAGTCCACCAACCAGAAACATCCAGCCAACAGCGTCCTGTGGGCAGCGTCCTGTGACCACTGATGAAGGGCTAGAGGATGACTAACACAAACTGTGCAGCAGCAGATGAGCTATCGTCTCTGACTTTACATCTACAAGGTGGACTGACAAGGTAGGAGTGTCTAATAGAGTGGACAGTGAGTGGACACTGTATTTAAAAACTCCAGCAGCACTGCTGTGTCTGATCCACTCGTACCAGCACAACACACACTAACACACCGCCACCACGTCAGTGTTACTGCAGTGCTGAGAATGATCCACCACCCAGATAGTACCTGCTCTGTGAGGGTCCATGGGGGTCCTGACCACTGAAGAACAGGGTAAAAGGGAGCTAACAAAGTATGCAGAGAAACAGATGGACTACAGTCTGTAACTGTAGAACTACAAAGTGCACCTATATAGTAAGTGGAGCTGATAAATAATAATGCTATGCCTGATCGGTGTAAACAGCTTAACTAAATGAAGAATATTATATAAATATGACTGTGGCAGTGACAGTAAAGAAATCAGAACAGAGCCAGGACTATCCAGTAAGGTTAATTTGTGTGTTGATAAGTGATGTTGATAAAATTCATATTTAGATGACCCTAAATTCATTACTTTAAGACGTGCATATGGCACATCATGAAACAAAAATTCTGTTAGGTTTATGTGCTCCGCAGTCCTCTATTTATGAAGCTGATGTCCATTGTAGCCTGCAGAGCATGAGAATGTAGTTATGCCTCAGCTGTCAAAGTTACTAGGTAATATCATTTCCTATTATACAAGACTTGATCTAGGCTGTTAAACATCCTAAATGGTGGTTTTAAAATGGTGTGGAAATATTGCTTGTAAATATTAAAAAACATTAGATCTCCTTACTAGCCCCAGATGTTTTGTCCAAAGCCCCAGATGTTTTCAAATCATATAAACGACCCTTGCTGCCGTCCACCTGAAAACCACGTCACTGTCTTCAGGGTTATTTAAAACTCACACCAGTAACTTGGACACGCCTGTTGCTGTTTTTTGAGCATGCAGAACTCTGTCTGAAATATGATGGATGACTGGATCGGTCATTTTGGGGATGAAAGCATGTTTATGACTAAATTTAACTTTTAACTTTGCAGAGACATCAGAACAGTGCTCAGTTATTTTAAAAACATTGTCCCCTCAGTTGCTCCTCAATATTAAAAATACCTCAATATTTCCAAAGCTATGTGATCATTAACCAAAGTCTGATTTGGAAAATTCGTCACAATTTAAATAGGATCAAAAGCTAGAAAACTCAGCTTCTCTGCATGATCAGGATGGTGTGGACCTTACAGTGGTGCAGCCATGGCAACATAATCAAACCCACAGCAGCAAGTGGTAGCTTTCATTCACTTCTTAAGCTTTTATTTTCTGGCAGAAATCCTACTTTGAATGTGTGTGCAAAATCAAATTCTGACGGTCTGACAGCCTGCAGGTCAGAGTGTAGCGTTTGTAACACACCATCACACAGTACTCTCTATATTTTGCGCAGTGTGAATGCTCACAGTTTATTTCTTGAGGCATGTGATATCATTTTATATCGCCCCCTACTGTGGCATGCTCAGTTGAGCATCTCTGAGGCATTTTTGTGCTTTAGTGTGGAGTTGATGTGGACGAGGATTTTTTCGAAAACAGCAAAAAACATTTTTTTTTTGTTTTCTAAAAATATCTAGATATATGTGGACAAGTCCTGAGCCTGCGTGAGTAGTGAGGAGGCTGTGTGTAGATGCTACTTACCCACTAGAGCCCTCCTTCGAGTGCGGACCCCCACGCAGTCAGCCGTGCAGGGTGAGAATTTGGACCAGTTGGTGAGCTGGCAGTCGTCTCGGCACGGCAACTGGCACGGCTGGTTTATAGCAGGCATGGAGTTGGCAAACTTCAGACACTGGCCTATGTCTGTTACTGACCCGTCCAGCTGCCGACATGAGACCGCTGCAGGATCACACACACAGATACACACACACTGCAGTGAGTCTGCTAAATTAAGAGGTGGCACAGTGCCAGAGAGATGGGTGAAAGTAGATGAAGCAGACGCTCATGAAACTTTAAGTTTACACTGAAAAACCTTTAATAAATGACTGTATTTAAACTGTAAATGCAGATCTCCACTCTTCATAATGACTGGCTGTTAAAGGGGCCTTTAAATGATCACGACTTGACTCACTCATTTTAGCGTGAGAAAAAATATTGACTAAAACTGACTAAATTAGGAGTGACAACTTTAATGCAGTAAATGAATAAAACCTTCACTTCCAAACCCACATGTGTGAATTTGTCTGTTTTTTTCATGGCCATTACCGCAGCGCCGTCCTCCTACAGCTCTTAGTGGCACCACCTTTGATACGACTTTTAATAAAAAGCCTTTCATTATAGAAAAACATTCAGTCTGATGGACAGAACTGAAGTGCTGCAAGCAGTATTTCAATTAAAGAGGTAAAACCACTTGAAACAGTTGGCTAGCATTTAGTTTGGATAGCAAGTAGGCTAACTAGCATGACAAAGTTGTTAGCTAATTTAGCTTAAGTTTCAGTAAATTACAGACCATATTACTTTAAAATGTACCAAAATGCCAGCTGGATTAGCTGCTGTGTTAGATAACTAGCTGGAATACATACATACATACATACATACATCATCTAAACCGCTTATCCTTCTGGGTCGCGGTGGGGTGCTGGAGCCTATCCCAGCTGTCATTGGGCGGAAGGCAGGATACACCCTGGACAGGTCGCCAATCCATCGCAGGGCTAGCTGGAATACGTGCTATATAAACTACAGACTAACCGGTGGAAGTAAAATGTAAGTGTTTCTAATAAAATGGCCAGTGAGTGTGAGTAGAAGCTAGGTGTTTCTAATAAAGTGGCCAGTGAGTGGACGTAGAAGGTCACTGTTTCTAATAAAGTGGCCAGTGAGCAGAAGCAGAAGGTAGGTGTTGCGAATAAAGTAGCCAGTGAGTAGAAGTAGAAGGTCAGTGTTTCTAATAAAGTGGATGGTGAGTGGAAGTAGAAGGTCAGTGTTTCTAATAAAGTGGACGGTGAGGGTACGGCTCCACAGTGCCATGGCTTCAGTGTGTGGGAGGATTTGAGCCTATTAAGCTGTTGGCATTCAGTGAACCGGATGGGGTGCGCTAATCCAGTCAGTTGCAGCATCACGTTGAAAGGGCAGGTGGGACAAGCAACCAGCATCACGCACAGACCATGAGAGCACTGTGGTCAGTACAACACGGTCACTGCCAGACATAATGACGTCTGTCACAGTTTCTGAAGTTACCCCTGGGTTTGTATCCGTGCCAGCGTGAGGAAGATTTAAATAACGTCACCTCTGATGATGAACAAGGTGAATGCTTGGCCACTGTTTTAGCCCAGAGATGCCTCCGGATGCAAAGTTCTAATTGAGAACTGGTTATAAAAGTTATTATAAGTCTGATATCCTGTCCCATCCCAGGCTGTCCACACACATATGACCACAGACATCAACTGGATTCTGTACCAATGTGCTAAGTTGTTAACAGTCATTGTGCTGTTTATGTAATAAACTTTGCTTAGCAACCATAACCTAGTGTAAGCGAGCCAAGATTCGTGGCACCTTTTTTTTTAACAACCTAACAGCAAGTAATGTGGAAACAGCAGAAATAGTCTAGTGTGGAGAACTGCCAGTATTTTGGGTTTTGGGTTAATCAGACACTAGAGGGCGCTCCTGAAAGTATCCAAAGTGAATAGGTCCCAATGGAGCATTTGTAAACAATTCATCCTTTTTTAATGCAAAAACATTAACTTGTTTTTTCAACACAGAACATCACAAAATATTTCAACGTTGCTCTCATTTATCTGAACCATTTGGAACTCTAGTTCTCTCTAACAGTGACTCAGTGAGCACGAACTGCTTCACTCAGCAAATGAGCTGATCAGCTTACCAACCAATAGTAGCAATAGTGCTAGCTTCCTACAGCACAAAACCTCATTGCTGTAGAAAAGCAGAAAGATACTGGTAAGTTTTCATTGATTTATACAATACAATGCAGCGTTCTACTTTCCAAAATTAGAGAAATTTCCACCAAAAATGTTTCATTTTCTGTTTCCAGCCGTTTAGCTCCATTCACTCCCATTTATCAACAACTCACTAGCAGTCGCCTTCCCTCATTTGCAGTTATATTAAGGCTGTGTCACAACCAAGATCTCTTTTTGCCCAGGGTCTGGACATTTATAAGTAGCTAATATTATCTATACTATTGCCCTAATAACTATCTGTGATCTACTGTCTTCAAAAAGAATGAAAAGAATCCAAGATGAAAAACAATAAAAAGGAATGAAGACTTCAGCCGAGTTCTTGTCGAAGGAAGCCTTCGCTTTATTGAGAATCAAATGGCAAGATGGTTCCCGGTCAACCACAATGCAAATATCATCTCAAAACATCCCTTTTTATTACCCCTCTGGGGTGATGAGGTCATCTCCCCACCCCAGCTACACAATTCCATATCATTTTAGTCCCCATCACGTCAAAACCTTACACCTTTTTTGGTAACCTTTAAAACCAAAATGTCTTTTTTTTTAAAAACCCACTCTGGTCTGCCTCTTAGCAGACTGTTCTCTCCTTACAGGGCCCTCTTGCACAACCCTCCATGTACGTACAAGAGTGGACCTCAGCTATAACTTAAACTAACATCTAGTACAACTCTCTTCTGTGAGCCCAGAAGCTCTTCGCCTGTTAGAGAGTCTACTGCATACAGTCCACAGTCTGCTTCCCTATATTACTTTTTTAGGAGGGCTCCAAGCTCCCTAGTCAGGCAATGCTTTATTCAGTCTTTCCCATCACCTGCTAAACCAAAGAGAATAAACATGCATGTGTTTCTGAAATTTAGAAACCTGCTAACTTTCTAAACTAAGTTTGTTTGATTTGGGAAAATTACACCTTTACAGCTTATAAACTGTGAGTATTATATTGAGTAGGACAACAAGCAAAAAGCTAGCAAGGTAGCTACCTGGCTATCTATATATCTCACCTCAGTCTTTTTCACATGGAATAAAGATAGAATTTCAGTTTTTTTATGATTTTGTTCAACAACTGAGGTAAGAGTTACAATAATGCTAGCTTGGTTATATTTATGAGCCTATAGATCAGTGGCTAGGCTAGCAATCAAGATTTGTTGACACCACAGGGATTTCCAGGGGCTGTGATGTATTCTGCAATGCATGTTGGGTATTGTAGTGAGAGAACACTGATGAACAAAAACATTTATATGCTATAAACTAGTGAATTCTACTGCCTGATTCTGCTGTAGAATGTTAAAGCAGATGTGTCTGATTTTATTTCAAAGAATGCCAGACTGCACCATGTAAAAATACCTGAGGGCTGACAAATTTTTCACAAATGATTCATTCAACATTACGGTTTCCAAATCAAAGCTTTCTGTCAGCTACTGTGTTTCCTGTCCCTGTATAGAAGATGCACAAGGCTTCTCAGTGTTAAGTTTGTGCTTTATGGCTGTAATCTTGATTAAATGTCATTCAGTAAATGAAGCTGCAGGTCTAGTCAGATCAGAAAGGCTCTTTAACTTTAGCTAACTTCGTTACCACAGTAACGATAGGGAAACGGAAAAACTACAATGTACTGGCTTGTGGGCCACTTATAACACCCTTAAACAAGCCATGGGCCAATTAAAATATCTCCATGGACCACATTTGGCCCTGAAAGCCAGACAACACTTCAGGGCTGACGTAAGATATGGCCTCAGATAACAAAACTTCCTTTTGTGCATCTCAAAGCTCGTTTTCTGAAACTCAAATCGTGAAGCCCAGCATGACAGACTGCATCATTACTATCACTAATCAGCTCAAGCCTGGTCTGATATGGTTTTGTGTGTTTGCTAATGCACGGATGAGCTTATATAATGTTTACCTCTGGTCTGGAGCCCTGCTCCACACCCCTCCTGAGCTCCAATGCTCTGCTGCCGGATGCTCCACGGAACCAGCTGACACCGGCGCCACTTGTGGGTCTTCCACCTGCGACCAGACCAGAACAATATTTAGGAGTTACGCAACTTTAACAGATGGTGTGAAACAGCATGCTGAATAACATCTTACTCTTCAGCTCAAAACAATAGAACAAAATAGGGCCACAACTAACGATTATTTCTGCATTAATCTTCTGACTGTTATTTGAATGACTAATCTAACTTAATTAAGCATAATAAACTTTTCAGCATATTGCTAACCCATTAGCAGGAGACTTGAAGCATCCTATGTCTCAGTCTGAGTCATTTTTTTGCAATGCAAATCTTCTCTTTCTCTCTCTCTGTCAAGGCTGCTAGTGACTAAACTATTTCTGTTGATTAATTGCTGACTATTACAATTATTCGATTAATCAACTAATCTAACTATTAGGTCTTGCTTAAACAATAAATTTGAAAAGCAAAGACATTTAGAAGATGCTTAAAACTGTAATCAATTTATGGAAAATGTCAAGAAATAAATACATTATAAGTAGTTTAGCTGAATGCATCATATATTCATTCCAAGCACCCATGAAAATTCAGAGCTTGTGGTCAGCGAAGCTAAAAGAGCAAAGATTATTTGATATATTATTTAATATTCTGTGAACAAGTTTGATGAATCATCTTAAACATGTACATATAATGATCCTAATCCGTTTGACAGGCTACACCAGAATTTCTCAGGAAAGGCCAGCATTGTGGATAGTAAGTGCATTACTATCAAGTGAATTGTGACTAGCTGGCATGTACACTGAGTGGCCGCTTCATTAAGTACACCTCCTTGCTTCTACACTCTTTGTCCATTTTATCAGCTCCACTTACCATATAGGTGTAGCTCTATGATTACAGACTGTAGTTCATCTGTTTCTTTGTGTACGTTATCGTCCCCCTTTTACCCTGTTCTTCACTGATCAGGACCCCCACAGGACCACCACAGAGCAGGTATTATTTGGGTGGTGGATCATTCTCAGCACTGCAGTAACACTGACGTGGTGGTGGTGTGTTAGTGTGTGTTGTGCTGGTACAAGTGGATCAGACACAGAGTGTCTGATCACACCTCAGTGCCACTGCTGGACTGAGAATAGTCCACCAACCAAAAACTTCAAGCCAACAGTGTCCTGTGGGCAGCGTCCTGTGACCACTGATGAAGGACTAGAGGATGACCAACACAAACTGTGCAACAACAGATTAGGTATCATGTCTGACTTTACATATACAAGGTGGAGCAACAAGGTAGGAGTGACTAATAGAGTGGACAGTGAGTGGACACAGTGTTTAAAAACTCCAGCAGCACTGCTGTGTCTGATCCACTCATACCAGCACAACACACACTAACACACCACCACCACGTCAGTGTCACTGCAGAGAATGATCCACCACCCAAATAATACCTGTGCTGTGGGGGTCCTGTGAGGGTCCTAACCATTGAAGAACAAAGTAAAAAGGGGGCCAACAAAGTATGCAGAGAATCAAATTGTAGAACTACCTATATATTGAGTGAGTAGATAAAATGGAGAATGAATGTAGAAACAAGGAGGTGTACTTAATGAAGTGGCTGGTCATTTTAATATTGTTTAATAACATCCACCATTAAACAGATTTAAACTGACAATATTAAAACTTTCTACATAGAGATTTTTCTGCTGCCCCCTTAGGAGCCCCCCTTGCAGCCCCTGAGAAAGCCATGGCCCATAGTTTGAGAACTGCTGCGCTACATGGCTGCTGTATCCAGTATATACTATTACATCATTGTCTCCTACTGGATATGTTCAAATGCAGTAACGAACATACTTAAAATGATGAAATGTGAATTTTATCGTTTTAATAGCTAATCTTGGAAACGAGTATTCAGGTTTTCATTTGGAAATACCAACGATTATTCAGAGCCTATAAATTTCTCTTCAGACTGGACTGCTGTTTTTAAAATAAACAATGTGTGGACAATAATCCAAATTGTTTATGGACAGCATCTTGTAGCCCTACAACGGACCTAACAGTTCTGTTTCTATATATCTGCCGGGATCGCTTGCTCAGCCATCAGAGCTCCCCTCCAAGGCCCAGGAGTAACTGTTGCTTACTTTTGCATCATACATCCACAAATGCATCATACAGCCACAACCGCGCTGAGAGAGAGAGAGCCGGGAGCGATGGTTGGCGTATACCTGTAAACTGGACAGGCAGAGTTTGAAGGGGGGCTCACACAGTCCTTTTCTTCATAGAGCACCTCGGGACAGTCTAGTCCGCCGTTGGCTGGCTTCTGGATGATCACACGGAAACGGGACTGCTTGCTCTTCTGGCCGCTGGTGACTAAAGACAAACCTGCTTGTGTCATGATGATAAAACTACAGTGTATTTTTAGCTACACATCAGTTACACAGAGAACAGACAGTCTTGAGACCAATGGTGACAGAACGGATAAGAGTAATTATGACAACATACGCTGCCCATCAAAAGTTCGCTTCTTAGAATGTTTTTAATATAAATGAGCATGTTTAATTTGACGGTTTGCAATGATTCAACACATTAAACGCTGAGATGACTTAAATATTTGGGATATTAGTAAAAAATGCCAAGCATTTTAGCCCTTTGTTGTGATATCAGCACTAATCAGCACTAAAACTTTGTGTAAGATTTCACCTTTGGGTCAAAAAAAAAAAAGTATAAGCACTAACAGCACACTCTTAAAAAAAGACGGTTTCTCAAGGGTTCTTTAGTAAAGAAAATGGCTCTAATAGAACCATGATCACTCAATGAACCCCTTGTATGCTTAAAGTGTTTTTTGCATCACTAATGGTTCTTCAGATTGATGGAGAATGTGCTGTAGATGGTTATTTATAGAACCTGTTTGAAAAGGGTTCTATATAGCACCAAAAAGGGTTCTCCTGTTATTATGACATTAAGCTTCAAGGGTTCTTCAGTAAAAAAAAAGTTCTATATAGAACTACAAACATCCCAAGAACCCTTTGCATGATTAAAGCGTTCTTTGCATCAGGAAAGGGATTCTTCAGATTGATGGGGAATATGTTCTATATGGTTCTACTCAGATCCCTTTTGAAAAGGGCTCTATATAGCACCAAAAAGGGTTTGTCTGTTGTTACGATAATAAGCTTCACACTTAAAACAGATGGTTCTTCAAAGGGTTCTTTAGAAAAATAATGTTTCTATATAGAACTATGCACATCCAAAGAACCCTTTGCGTTAAAGGGTTCTTTGCATCATATTGAAGAAAAGTATCTTTTATATACTCGTGGAGAATTTGTTTTATATGGTTCTATATAGAACCTTTTAGAAAAGGGTTCTATATAGCACCAAAAAGGGTTCTTCTTTTGTTACAGGCTTGACATCATAACAATAGAAGAACCCTTTCTGGTGCTATATAGAACCCTTTTCAAAAAGGTTCAATACAAAATATATTCTCCTTTAATCTGAAGAACGATTTGGTGATGCAAAGAACCCTTTAAGCATGCAAAGTGTTCTTTAAGTATTCATGGCTCTATATAGAACAATTTTCTTTACTAAAGAACCCTTGAAGGACCATCCTTTTTAAGGGTGTTGTTACAATAGAAGGACCCTTTTTGGTGCTATATAGGACCCTTTTCAGACAGGTTCAATATAGAAACATCTACAACACATTCTCCATCAGTGTGAAGAGCCCTTTATCCTTGCAAAGTGGACCATTTTCTTTACTAAAGAACCCTTGAAGAACCATTTTTAAAGGGTGTACTGTGCAAAAGTTACAAAGTGCATTTTATTTATTTAACTGTCAGTCAAAACAGCCATCTCATACATTTTTTAGTGCAAGAAAAGAAGCAGAAAACATATATTTAACAAAACTATACAAAAGCCTCAACAATCAAATATATCATCCATTTTCCTCAGTATTTATCATGTCCACTCTCTGCCTTTATTACAGCTTCCATTCTTTTCAGGAGACTTGCTTTCGGTTTCTCAAAGAAAACTGCAGGGATATTTTTCCACACCTCCAAAGTTCAGTCATTAGCCGTGTTCAGACTGCAGGCAAATCAGATTTGCTTCACAAATCAGATCTTTTGAGACGACTGTCCTGCTATTGTTATTCGCAAGTGATTGGATTGGATTTGTGTGTCCAGACATCACCTATCTGCATGGGTTGCTGTGGTAACCTACCAGTCAGTAACTACGTAGTTATGCTGGTGATGCTGATTTCCACTGCGGGTGCAGGAGAGATGGAGGTGCATCATATCGACCCTCCAAACCCTTCACAATTCTCTGGCGTGAATCCTGGGTGCTCTTCCTGAATCCCAGCACTTCCATCACTCTGGATTTGACGTTGTTGTTGTTTGCCGCTTTGCGAGTGACGCAAAAGGCACCTTGAAATCTGATTTGAGAGGCCAGAGCGTCCAGACTGAGACAAAATCTAATTGGAATCTCATTTTAAACCACCTCCAAATGTGGTTTGGATCCGATTTACAACAATGGGATTTCCCTTGTTTTTTTTCTGTCCAATCTGGATACAATCTGGATATGCCAAAGCTCAGATTTGGGCTGACAGTCTGATGTTGGTTGAACTTTCTGCTTCTCACAATCCAAGCAACCCCAGACACATTGAGTGATGTTAAGCTCTGGACTCTGGGGTGGTCAGTCCATTATTTTGAGAACACCAGTAGCTTCTTTGTTTGATTTGCAGTTTTCATCTGTCTCCTTTTCTCAGTGAGGCTTCTTGACAGCTACACATCCTTTCAGACTCATAGCGCTGAGTCGTCTTTTTACAGTGGAAGGATGGACAGAAACACCTGTGGATGTTTTCAGATCTGAAGCAGCTCGATTTTCTCCTCTCTCAAACATGAAGGCTTTTTTATCTGAAGTGCTGTTTATCTGATAAGAACAGTTTTGGTGGTCTACTGGGTCTTGCAGGTGGTTGCGAGGAATTTTTTACTATCCTTAATTTTGGAAATTCCTGTTTTTTTTTCCACTTCATTTCCTTTGACCTCCCCCCTCCTTATGCAAGTAGATTATCATATATCCAGTCTACTCAGAATCATCTCCTGAATGAATGTGAATAAATGAATCATTTGTATTTAATGGCCGTTTTGACTGAGCAGTATTGCACTAAAGGAACATACAAAGGGTTTTTTCACACTAAAAGAGCAGAAGAGCTGTCCATGGCCACTGATTTCAAATTATAAAGCACTGATAGAGGCTAACCCATGTACCGGAACAAAAACCTCATCAAAAATCTGGAAGTGCTAACAGCTCCAGTAGAAGATTTATGTCCCTGTGTCAAGCGTGAGGTCACTGGACTGTGAATGATTATGTTATCATGCTATGAAGACCAATCTCAGTTATGCCACATTGCCCTTCAAGGTTGCTGAAAGCTGACCGCTCCGTTTGACTTCAAGCAAGTGTACCATGGGCTGTGAACAAAACTATGCCCTACACACTGTACAGTACACTAGTGCACTACTGTTGGAGTTTGTAGTGACCTGATGTGCTCTAATGTAGGGAATATTGATTAGGGGCCATTTCTGTTCCACATAACAGTGCTATACATTGTGCTACCTGTTTTCTAAGGTAGGGAATAGTAATCAGGGACTATTTACGTCTCCTATAAAGGTGTTCTATATGCTTTTATGTAGGGAATGGTGGTTAAGGGCCCATTCTGTTCCCTGTACTAGGGTTATATATTGTGCTACTTGTTTTCTAAGGTAGAGAACAGTTATTAGCAACCATTTATGTTCTGTATAATAGTGTTCTATATGGTGCTGTAATGTAGGGAACAGTGATTAGGGGCTCATATTTGTTCCCTATAATAGTGTTCTATATAGTGCCCCTGATTTTCTAATGAAGAGAATAGTAATTATTTCAAATGCAGAGATGGCATACCTGGTTCGCAGGATGTAGGACAGGCCGTCCATTCACCAAATGGTGTCACTATGCAGTCCTTCTTACAGGGCAGCACACAAGGCCTCACTGATACTGGCCGAGGACCATCTGGACATCTAAACACACACAGACACACACATGTTAGAGACATGGCAGTGATTCGTGGAACGCTACTTTACCATTCAAAAGTCTGGGAAGTTTTGTTATTATGGAGATAATAATAATAATAATAATAATAATGTCCTGTGATTTACTCTGCTAGCTTACTCTGCATGTTAATTTTATATTCATTCTGGATACAAATTTGACCATAATTTCATTCCGGATGTTAATTTTACTGTAAACTCAGTCTTGATGTTATATAACTTTCTTAATTATTTCATCATTTCTGACACATTCAAAAATAATATATACTGAATATACACTAAATATATACACTAATCAGGCATTGCATTATGACCACCTCCTTGTTTGTACACTCATTGTCCATTTTATCAGCTCCACTTACTATATAGGTTCACTTTGTAGTTCTACAATTACAGACTGTAGTCCATCTGTTTCTCTGCATACATTTTGTTAGCCCCCTTTTACCCTGTTCTTCAGTGGTCAGGACCCCCATGAGGGCAGGTACTATTTGAGTGGTGGATCATTCTCAGCACTGCTGTAACACTGACGTGGTGGTGGTGTGTTAGTGTGTGTTGTGCTGGTCTGAGTGGATCAGACACAGCAGTGCTGCTGGAGTTTTTAAACACCTCAGTGTCACTGCTGGACTGAGAACAGTCCACCAACCAAAAATATCCAGCCAACAGCGACCTGTGGGCAGCGTCCTGTGACCACTGGTGAAGGACTAGAGGATGACCAACAAAACCTGTGCAGCAGCAGATGAGCTATCGTCTCTGACTTTACATCTACAAGGTGGACTGACAAGGTAGGAGTGTCTAATAGAGTGGACAGTGAGTGGACACTGTATTTAAAAACTCCAGCAGCACTGCTGTGTCTGATCCATTTAGACCAGCGCAACACACTCTAACACACCACCACCACGTCAGTGTTACTGCAGTGCTGAGAATGATCCACCACCCAAATAGTACCTGCTCTGTGAGGGTCCATGGGGGTTCTGTCCACTGAAGAAGAGGGTAAAAGGGGGCTAACAAAGTATGCAGAGAAACAGATGGACTACAGTCTGTAACTGTAGAACTACAAAGTGCACCTATATAGTAAGCGGAGCTGATAAAATGGACAATGAGTGTAGAAACAAGGAGGCGGTCATAATGTTATGCCTGATCAGTGTATGATGCTATCCAACTTTCTTAATAATAATATATATACATGATGTATGTTTTTATTTGTAAAGCACTGATTGTCAACTTTTGATTGGTAGTGTAAATGTAGGTGAAATGGTGTTCCATGAAGCTGCAAAGCTATCTGGCTGCAGAAGCAGTGGAGAGAGTGCTGAACTCAGTTAACCTCACGCTTAGTACTTATTACGCACAGCAGCGCAGTACAGAAAGCATGCAAACGGGCCTTTAGCTTTTGCTCTTTCCAAATCCCCAACCATCCAAAATGGGATTAATTATCAAGCTTAACTGCTGCCTGTCACCTCCACACACCACCTGCTTCACACATCACAGCACGGTGAGGACCTGCAGCCTCGCAACACAAACTCCAATACAAACTAATATCACGCTGTGACAGACCTGCACATACAGTACCTGTCAAACCCACATGATCGAATGTATGTTTCTGCTTAAAGAGTAATTCCTCTGTTTTCTTCAAAATTCAATCGTTGAGATGTAAACAAAGACATTCAGCGTTGTTTGATGTGAGATGTTTATTGCAGAGAAACTTGCTGACTCACATTTCTTTACAGTGGTGGTGATAGGAACCAGGGGGCACAAATATAGCCACTGTATTTACTATCTAATACTTGCTGACCAACATCTTCTCAAGGAGCATATTCATAACCACTTCATGTAATAACTTTCTGCGAGGGAGCTTTTAGAGGCAAACTCTTCAGACGTCCGGTTCCTATCACCACCTCTGTGAACAATTCTGACTTGGTAAGTTTTTCTAGGACAGAGCATTTCACATAAAAACACTCTGAGTCATGTGTTTTCATTGAACTATTTAATTATGCAGAAAGACATAGTTGTTAAGTTACAAAAAAAACACTTGATGGTGTCTCAAGTATCCAACAAAACTGAAAAATTAACATTCAAAAGCGTAAATTATAAAAAACTAGCGGCGATGCGCCCCTCGCCTCTTTTCGAGGCCAGGGGTCGGCAACACAAATGTTAAGAAGAGCCATTTTGTCCTTTCAGCAAAAACCAAACCATTTTAAAAGCCACAACATGTTATGTCCATTTTACCCTTTTGGCTGTAAATATGTTTCAGTATGTGCTGATGTTCTAGTCTATATAAAACATATAATATAAACAAAAACGCCGACTTACATTGCTTTGTTTTAAGCTTTAGCTCAACTATACCCGCTTTTCTCGCATTTTCGGCAGGAAACGTTTCCAAAAGCGGAACAGTTTACTGGAAAACGTCTCTCAATGTTAGACTTGTTATGAGGCGGAAGTCGCTTCTCATTCACCAGCTTCTTGTTCAGATTTTAAATTGTGCCTGAGGCGCCAGAATGTAACTGCTGCACCATTTAAGGTGGAACGGGAAAATTCAAATGAGAAGCTGACTTCAGCTTCGTGACTTATTAGTGTTTGTCAGTTTCTTGTTGCAGATTAAACATATCAGGAAACCAGCTGGAGTGATTATAAACACAAATAAGTCCACTCATCTCCAAATTATCAATGTTCGTCTTAAATCTTTCTCTTTGCCTTTTTGCTAGCTACCAGCTAGGCAAATTGTTCTCTGTGTTACTATGGTGACCAGCAATCTGCGCACTGCATTCTGCCACCCCCTGTAGTAGAAAAATGGATGCATCCTGTCAGAGTAGTGGGTGGACCTTATGCTATGCATACACCCACACTCAAAAGATAGGCCTCTTATTCTGAAGTTGTTTATAAATTCTATGGTTTTCGCTCCTGAGTGGTACAACCGTCTAAGATTTAGGAGACAGAGAGTTTGACCTAGGAGATGCTGCGACTAAACTGGGGGGGAACTGGGTAAAAACAAACAAACAAACAAATAAACAAATACATACATACACTCAAGGGATCCGTGCCTGGCTTATTTTTTTAACAAAAATCAAATTGAAATCGAATGGAACTTGATAATATGTGCACCATTACATTCATATCTGATACAGAAGATTTGTTAACTCTTTTGCTGCATAATCACCGCATAATCCCATATGTGTTATATGTTTTGATTTCACTATTATTTATAAATGTGGAAAACAGGAAAAATAAAGAAAAACTCCACGTCAACCATCAACTCTATGATGGTGTCCAGAATGGTTGTAGCATTAAAGCACTAGAGCAATGCCTCAAGGCTTTCCACACTAGATGTAATGATAATTATTCTCCCTTGCAGTAACCCTTTTATATAGTCCCTGAGGGAAATGAAATCAAAAGGACAACAGCAGCTCTAGTGGCTTACAGCAATCTTTCCTCATAAAATTCTCTTAATTTCCTGCTGTCTCATGACTTAAAGGTATGTATTCTCCCGGCCCGAGGCAGATAAAGGCTTTAAAACAAACTGCTTCCCCCAGCGTTACATTCTATTGATTCTATCGCTGAGCAATAATCCGCTTTTATCAGCGCTATGGCTGTTGCGGTTTATGAACGTGGGGTCAGCTTTAATCCACAACTGTATGTTAAGCACCGCTCTGGCGCTGTCGATCCTGACCGGATAAAGATGAACCCAAAAAAAAAAAAAAAAACAGCCTCAGATCTAGGCTGGCCGGTAATCTGATCTTTGGCCATATCCTCCCGGGCTTTGTCTGCTGTGGCTGTTCCGTGCCTTCATCCAATTGGAGATGGCTCAGCGGCTCATCGGGGTCAGTGTTTAACGCAGTGCCGCTCAGCCTGCCGGACCCTTCATTAGTGTCATGCTTGCGAGGGGACCGGACACAATGTAATAAGGCTACAGCCATGCAAGAGCGATTTATTTTTAATACCGATAGATGGAGTAAATCTGTGTCTGGCAGAGGCAAATCCTGTGAAGCGCTACTGTACAGTGCATTATGTAGAATGAGACTGAGTGTAAGCGCTGGGCAGAAGGCAAATGACTCATTCTGTGGTCACTGGCCCAGTATGTTAGGCCTGCACATTAGGGTTGATAGCACTTGGTATGGTCTACCCCTACCTCAAATGAGGCAGATCAGCAAAGACATGTTTGGTGTCTGAAGTTTGCTTTTTAATTTTGTACTGGAGGATGTTAATCTAGACAAAAGGTAATGGAAACTCGAAGCTACCAAGTTATCACTGTACAAACTGCAGGTCCAAATCAGCCTCAAAGTGTGTCAACTGAAGTATCAAAGGTGATTCTAGGACCCAATCCTATTTCACCCCTTCCCCTACCACTTAGCCCTTAGCCATCCGTTTTGCGCGTTCATGTTCAATCCTGATTTTTGTTGAGACAGAGGGGTAGGGCGAAGTGTTAGAACTGCTACTCCATTTGAGGTGGAACGAGAAAATTCGTAAAAGAAGCTGGTGAATAGCCTCATATCACTGATGAATTAGTTGTGGGCGGTAAATTATTGGCGCATCGCCCCTCTTTGAAAGCATATAATTCCCTAAATGTAACTCAAGACCAGCAGTGAGGTTGCTGAACTTTACCCTCCTCTGCTGTCACTGCAGACTGGTAGGGTCGTCTACAGAGCAGCGCTAGTAGCTGTTAATGAAGTAATGTTCTTTTTATTTGAGGGTCCCATTTCATAGAGGAAGATTTCAACCACTACCCACTGTGCCTCAGTTCTAAGGGACAAGGTGACCCTCCAAAACAAGGGGTAGGGGTAAAAAGAAGAAATAGGATTGGGCCTAGGATTTTAACGTTAGAGGGGCTCGGCCAACAAAGACATTTTTTTAATTATTCAGCAATCAACTTTCCCTGATTGTCAAGGCAATTAAGGGTTAATTAGCATAGGAATGCTGAAGACTGTACTGCCCACCTGTTGACTAGTGTCTGACTGAGGCAATGTAACAACTAAACAACT